CTTAGGAATAATGGCAAGTACGCTAGAGCTCAGAATGATCTGAGGCTGAGAAACATGAAGCCAATGAAGAGGGTTTCTTTCTTTCTTCCTTTCTTTTTCTTTCTTTTTCTTTCCTTTCCCATCCTCCCCTTCTCCCTGTCTCCCTTTCTCCTTTCTCTCCCTTTCTTTCTTCTCTTCCTCCCTTTCCCCCAATCACTTCCCTACTCTTTTCTTTCCCTCTGTCATTCCTTCTTTCACTTTCTCCTTTTTTCCTTCCCTCCTTTCTTCCTTTCCTCCCTCCATTGGAGAAAAGAAGATCAAAGAAAGGATTCCTACTTTGCTTGACAGGCCAATCATGGACAAGGGAGAGAAGGCAGAGCTACTCAAGTCTAATTTTGCTTTCGTTCTCTCTGCCAAGAAAAATAATATTTAGATTTAGAGGGATAGGACAAAAATGGCTAACAGGGAGTTGATACCCCAAAGAAATACAAAAGTAGCTGCTCTTCATAAGTTTGTCTGGCCCAGATGGACGATATTCTTGGGTTTTGAAAGGACTTTACTAGATTTGGGTTATTGCTGAACTTCTATTGATATTCTTTGAAGTATCATGGAGAAGGGGGATAGGTGTTTAAAATGAAAATGTTCAGGGGCAGCTAGGTGGCACAGTGGATAGAGTACCGGCCCTGAAGTCAGGAGGACCTGAGTTCAAATCCGGTCTCAGACCAAACACTTGACACTTACTAGCTGTGTGACCCTGGGCAAGTCACTTAACCGCAATTGCCTTAAAAAAAACAAAAACAAAAAAAACCAAAACAAATAAAATGCAAACGTAGAAGGGAGTAGAGTCTGCAAGTATAGGCCAGCGAATTTGACTTTGATTCCTGATGTATTCTAGAATCTATTGATAAAAGAGATGGTTAGTGAATTTCTAGAACATTGATTATAAGGATCCAGCTTGGCTTCATCAAGGACATGTCATACAGACTAACATTATGTCTTTTTTTTAAAGATAAGATTACTAGAGTGGTAGATCAGGGGAACATTTGATATAGTTTACCTATATTTAGCAAAGAACTGGTTCCCATGTTATGCTCATAGAAAATTGGATTAGAAAATACTATAGTTATGTAGTCTCAAAACTAAGTGCCTGAGCCCGAAGTGTAGCCATTAGTCATTCAATTTAAATTTAGAAGGGGGGATGTGCTCCAGTGAACTATGGCAGGGATCTTTGTGTCCATATGTTGAATGGTTTGGATAAAAGCATGGATGATGACATGTTTATCAGATGTTGGAGAGCAGGAATTAAAAAATCTTGACAAGCTAATATATTGGGCTGAATCTATTAAGATATAATTTAGCAGAGATAAATATAGAGCGTTACATTTAGGTTTTTTAAAAAAATCAGGTACAAGATGGAGTAGGTAGGGCCAGATTGCAGTTTGTCTGAAAAGGGGAGTTTTAGGACAGCGCAACTTCAACATGGATCAACAGGATGCTATGATGCATATCTTAAAAAAAAAAAAAAAGAGAGAGATAACATTAGTCTGCATGACATATTCTTGACGAAGCCAAACTGAATCCTTAGAATCGATGTTCTTTTTTTATTAATAGATTCTAGAATTTATCAGGAATCAAAGTCAAATTCACTGGCCTATACTTTACAGACTCTACTCTCTTCTCTTTTTTTGGAAAGTTGGGTGGACTTTTTCTAGCATTTATTAAGCATTTGCTGCATGCCAATTTCTAGGCTAAGTGCTGGGGACATAAATACAAAAGTGAGGCAGTCTGTGCCCTCAAAGAGCTTGCATTCTAATGGGAGAGATGATAATATATGTGTGTGAGTGTGTGTATCTCTGGTTCTAATCTCCTCACACATCTATGAATGGCGGCCAAGGAAGGGAGTTAATGGATTGGGAAGTAAAAAAGATGGTTAGTGGAGCCATAAAGCAGTTCTTTTAACACACCCTTTCCAGAGGCAATGGAAAGTTCGTGTTGTGTGTTGTGTGTGTGTGTGTGTGCGTGTTATAGTAGTGGTAGTAGGACCCGCAGGGTGGATGATGGGCCAGAGTGAAGATGAGGATTTCTGGTCCTAGAAAGTGTGGAGTTGAGTGGCATAGCTTCTAGCAGCACAGTCTCCGTTGGTCAGATTTGGAGGGAGGAGCTTCGTTTTCATTTCTTGTGATAGGTGATAATTCTATTGTATGTTGATTTTGTTCAGGCCGCATTTTGAGACTTTATCTTTTCAATGACATCCTAAAATAGAATCCCGAGAAATGGAGGGCAAACAGGCTGGTGAAGGGCCTTGAAATCCTGGTCTTTGAGGATTGTTTGAAGGAATTTGGGCATGAGAAGAAATGGCAACAGGATACCATTTTAAAGTGTTCAGATTGTCATATGGAAAAGGAATTAAACATGTTTAGCTTGGCCGCAAAGATTTAACTAGAAACAGTAGGGTAGAAGTTACAGAGATGCACATTTGGGCTCTATTAGGGAAAAAAATTTCCTAATAAGTGCTATAATAATAAATAGCTAACATTTATACAGTTCTTTAAGGTTTGTAAAGTGTTTTACAAATATGATCTCATTTGATTCTCACATCTATCCTGGGAGATACGTGTTATTATTCCCATTTTACAGTTGAAGAAACTGAGGCAAACAGAGGGTAAAGGACTTACCCAGAGTCATACAGCTAGTGATTGTCTGAGGCTGGATTTTCCACTAAGCCACCTCGCTGTTATCTAAAAGTGGAATGGGTTTAGAGCATTGTGACTTTCTCCTCACCAGAGATTTTCCAACAAAAGTTGGATGACCACTTGTCAGTTTGTCAGCTGATAGTGCAGTGGACAACCTGTTAGACCTAGAGTCAGGAAGACCTGGGTTCAAATCCAGCCTCAGACACTAACTACCTGTGTGACCCTAGGCAAGTCACTTAACCCTGTTCTTCTTCGCTTCCTTATTTGTAAAAAAGGATAATGATAGCACCTACCTCCAGGGTTGTTGTGAGGATCAAATGAGATCATATTTGTAAAGCATTTTAACACAGTACCTGGCATACAGTAGGCATTATATAAATGCTTATTCTCTTCCCCACTTCTCCTCCTCCCTTGCCATGTTGTTATGTTGGATGGAGATAGATTTTCTCTGAGGTTTCATTGCAGATTCTCTTAATTTGTGATACTGAAATACTTGGACATATAGCAGAGTACCTAGCTCATAATAACTGCTTAAAAATTCTTTCTGACTTTACTAGATTTGGAAGGTCATGTAATATTTGGAGTTAGGAAAGGACCTGCCATTTCTTAACTCTTCAGACCAGAACCTGCATTCTTTTTCTGCTTGGGTCCTATGATGTTTGACCATATTCAGGACTGTAAGCCTTCCAGTCAGAGTTGCAGCAACCAAGATCTTCTGAAATCGTGGCAGTTGAGGAGTGAAAAATCCTCCTTCTGAGCAAACAAAGACTATGTAATGGACAAGGGATTAATTTGCAGCAACAGCTTCCTAATTTTGTATTCGTAACCCTGGGTGCACACTGGGCTTCACGTGCACCTTCCACTGATGTATGTTGGGTAATTGGGTCTCCACAGCCCAATTTGCATGCAACGGTGGTTGTCTCCCTAACATTCACGTGCCTAAAATTACAGGCTGGTTTGAAGTTGGCTGAAACCTTGCTGCCAGGTAAGTAATGAGATAAGGAAGAAATGGTTTCTGTTAATCAGCCCTGTTGGCCTCTGCTGTTCAACCTTTGCTAATTTGTTCTTTGAAGTTACACGTTTCCTTGTTGAATAAGGAGTCATCTAAAGAGTAATTAGTGGTTTAAAAATCCATATGTGCAAACCTTGATTGTGTTTACCACAGTATTTTCTCTTGTATCCTACCTACTCACGAGCTGCAATCTGTTTCTGTGCTTTATCTTGGCTCTGCTTGGGGTCAAATACCTAGGTTCTTCTAGTGCTCTGTAAAGGTCTTCATAAACAAATTTGAGATTTTTATCCATTAACAAGCTTTTTTTTTTTTTTTTTCTCCATCTCCACTGAGAAAGGGAAAAAGAAAAACAAAATCCGTGTAACCAATTAGTATAGTCAAGCCAGATAAATTCTAACATTGGCCACGTCAAAGATGTATGTCTCATTCTGCATGAGTCTATCTTTGTTGTCAGGTGGTGGGTCACATTCTTTACCGGTCCTGTGCAAATTATGGGTGGTTATTCCATTGATCAGAGTTCTTAAGTCTTTTCAAAATTGGTTGCTTTTGTTTTCATAATATTCTTCTCTTTCTCCTGATTCTGTTTCTGAAGAGTGTATTTGTTTGGGGGTTGGTTCCCCCCTCCCCCACCAAACTTGTGATTTATTTAGTGTTGGGATGTCTCAGTGAGGATGGATTTTTTTATTGATACAGATCCTAACTCATTTATTTCAGAGTTTTCTGAGAGCACTAAACAGTTAAGTGACTTGTTCATGGTTATACAGATAGTAAAAGAAAGTCTAAACTAGAACTAGAACCCAAATCTTCCTGATTCCAAGTCCAGCCCCGTCTCTGCTATACTCCCTAACTCTTAAATTTTCCATGTATGATAGCTGATAGAAAAACCACTCAAAGCATGCACTCTACTGACTGTTTCAGTCAAGAGGCCCATTTTAAATCCTTCTCCTCTAAAAAGCCCACCTCATCTCTTCTGCCTCTGAGCTGACATAGCTATCATTAGGAACCACTCCTTTAGCAAACATCATAGACTGTCACCTTTTCATGTATGTAGGCCCAGGCTCCTCAGGCAGGCAGTTTACACACTTGTGGTTAGGGGCCATTTTGTATACTTGTTTCTTTCCTTTAGAGATCCTGGAAGAATATTTGTGCATAGAGCCTGCCCAATAAATATTGTTGGTCATAATGGTGGCTAGCCCTTTTCAAGAGGAAGCAATTTCAATGATTTTTAAAATAAATGATGATTTTTGCATGACAATGTAATGGAGGCTATCCCAGGAAGCATGTTCTTAAATAATGTTTTTTTCCCCCTATTTTAGCATGGCCGGGTTTACCGTGATAGCTCCAGATCAGATCCGAAGAGACAAGATAACGAGGAGTATGTATATTCAGTTATTCTGTGCTCTTTGCTTTACTTTGATTCTGAGGTTTTTCTGGTATGTGTGGGTGTGTGAGTGTACTTCATAGATCTAATGAGTATCACTGCCTTTTGATGCTTTTATTGTTTTTAACCGTTGCTTTTTTTTTTTAATTGTTCTACTAAGAATAGTAAATAATTGATCTATATTAAGACATTTTGCTGGTATGTACTTACAACCTTATCATAAGCTAGAATTCCTATAAAACTTAAATATTTTTATGTATACCACCAGGCAAAACACTGCCCACCCTCCATCCCCCTGCCTAAAATCTTCATGGAGTTGAGGATGTCTGGGGATACTTTTACATACATGCACAATGTTTCCCCCAATAGAGTGTAAGCTCCTTGAGGGCCTTTATATTCCTAGTGCTTACCATAGTGTCTTTCCCATAGAAATGTTTTAATAAATAAATGCCTGGTTTTTTTCCCTTGCGTGGTTAGGCCAAACTCTTTAGAAGCTCTACAGTGATCCAGGGCTTAATGTAATCTGCCTACAGAAGCATCTAAAGAATTTGTCTTTTCACTGGACATTCTCCATGTCTGTGGCTAGCTTCAGCAGGTAGAGGCATGAATCAGGGAGAAGTCTATGGTAGTTGTAATGAGAAGGCTGTTAAAACCCTCTGTTTCATCCTTAAGGGAATTTTATGATTTTAACATATACATGAGAGACCCTTTATTAGAAAATAATCTTTAAGGGGGCATTTGGCTCTACTGAATCAGATACGGTATTTATAGGAAAATAAAGCTCAATGGTATTTTATATTCTCTGAACCTTTAGTAATTATAGTAGCTAGAATTTTATATAGCACTTCAAGGTTTGCAAAGTATTTTACATAGATTATCTCGTTTGATCCTTACAAGAACCCTAGGAGGTTAGTGTTATTATTGTCTCCATTTTGGAGATGAGGAAATCATGCCTATAAAGTTAAGTGACTCACCCAGGCTCATATTGCTGATAATCACCTGAAGGATAATTCAGATTGGAGTCTTCCTGACTTCAAGTACAACATTCTATTTACTGTACCACCTAGATGTCAGTGCCTATAAAGATTTGAGCTGCCATAGAATGATATTTGTGAAAGTTTTTTCTTTTTATGACTTTATTCAGGCATGCATATTAAGATTATTTTCATGAAGATTTTGTAGAGATGGAAAAAAATAATGCAGTCTGCTAATTACTAATATTTTCTTAGGGACCTTTTTTCTTTAATATTGTCTATATACTTTTCTAAACCTCTGACATCCTTCCCTTATGCAAGTGTCATGAGGATTCATTTCTCAAGGTGAGTTACTTTTTGTATAGATCTCTTCTGTATATACTTTGTCTGGTTTAACCCCTCTTCCCATCTTTTTTTCCTTCAGTATCACTTTTGCTATCCCATACTGTTAATCATGAACTATAATATGAGAGTCAAAGCTAGGTGATTTCATTATCACTGATGGAAGAGGAGTTCATTATAGAAACCTTAGCAGATCTTTTCCATTTTTGTTGTCTGCCCTTCTAGATTTATTATTAAATGATCTTTGAGTGAGCTGACTTGAATCTCCTACCAAGGTTTCTTGTTTTTCCCTCCCCTATTTCTTGCTGGTTTTGGGGGGGGCAGCCTCACAAACTCATCATAAACCCGTAAGATTATAATCTCACACACAATTTTTCTCTCTAAGATTTGACAAATGAGCTGATATCACAAACCACTGTATCAATTTTTCCAACTTGCATAGAGATCAAGCTTCTCAATTTCTCTGTTGTGGTGATTGGTTTAAATCTGTTAAACTTTAAAAATGGTGACTTTTTTTTGCTGATGTCTGAGTTTTTTTAAAATCCAATTCTCACTTTATTTATAGCATTAATAGCTTATTTTGATAGGCCAGATTGGAATTGCCTCAATTGTATGCCATATTCCCTTATTTTTATTCTTTTAATTTGGTTTTAATTTTGATCTCTTTTCTATTGTTTCCCTGACTCTACACAGATGACTGATTCAGAAATGACTCTCACATTGGTAACCAGTTATATCTTTTTTTTTTTAAAAATAGATTTCTTTTTTGTATGTTGTTATTGGGTATCATTAATGTCCCAGAGCCTCCCAATATTTCACGCAAGAATAAAGTCTTTATGATATTTAGTCATGAGGCTTCTGTGTAGTTTACAACAGTGATATCAAACTCAAATGTAAAGTGGAGAGACCACTAAACCATACATAAGGATCATATTGACTTAGAAACCCACATATTAACATTATCTTCTATTCTATTTTTACTTATTTTGTTAACTATTTCCCAATTACATTTTAATATGGTTCTGACTATACTTGGGAGTGCTGCAGCCTTGCTGAGCTACATGTTTGATACTTGATTTACAGTAGCCTTCGATCTCTTTCATTTCTTACTCCTGATTTATGTTATTCAACATATTTTTTTTTCATTCTCCCCGTGTATACTTTTATGTTAAAGTCACTAAGTGTTGTAGTATGTGTGCTTTAATTTGGAAAGCCTTAAATTCTTCTCAGACCTGCTCTACCTCTTCACCAATCTTGGTACCTAGGCTACAATTATCTTTATCATGGTTTGCTTGTAATTGTTTATTTTATATCTTGCAATATAGAATGACCGAGAGTTCCAAGAAATGTCTTTTGTTGCTTTTGTAAATATGCACAATAAAGCCAACTTTTAACTCCTTTATTTGACTCTTCATGGAGATCCTGTGTGTCATCCTTGCATTTAAATGCAACTTCCATTTGTCTGCTTGGCTTCATTTATAGCAAGAATATCAAATCAATGTGATTTAATTTTTTCTGATAGTGTGCTCACTAGTTGGTCATTGGACAAGGATCTCCTATTTAGAATGCTGGTAGCTAAGTTAATGTATATAGATGAACTAGTGTGATTCTCGATAACCTCTGCCACCATCACTAAAGAAGCATGATGGAACTTCACAAGACCAAGTGCCATTTTGTATTTTTTGATTTATCTGTCACCATGCCTGAGGAATTTGTTTACCAGTTGGTACAGCCTGTCCGTGATCCATCTTTCTGCACTTAGGCCAATCCTTAGTATGATCCCGTACGTGGTCTTTCTGGTGTGGTAGTACCTGACAGAGTTTGTGTGCCACTGATTGAGCCTTCAGGAACCCAGAATTACTTCCATATTACACTGAGACATCAGAACACAGCTTTGTGAACCATCATATACTTCTGGGAAGAAATAATTTAAAAAGAAATTGGGCTTAAATAAAAAAAAAACCTTAGTCTCTAGCAAGTTTTAAATACCTACAATATTTTAAAAACTACTTTTAAAGTCTATTTGGAATGCACTTATTAAAATATGATTCTCCTAATTTTTTTATTGATTCTGTAATTGACTTTTGAGGGTTGATAAATTTAGAAGGAAAAACTAAGTTCTTGCATTTCAGTTAATGAAGCAAAATGTGATTATTTAATTTGTTTCTCTTAACATGGGGCTCATATTGAAAATCTGATGCCAAGGTGACTGTGAGTTTCAGGTTCATTCCTGGGCATGAGTAAGAATTAGATGCTATAGACCCTTCTTTACTAACTCATATACTTAGGAGTCACAGCCTTTAATTTTTTTTCTTGATGTTTATAAGTAACTTATTTTTTCCCCTTTTAACTTTCATCCATTTGTTTCATCTTTCCCATCTGGCTTAGTTGCTAAGAAAGAATTGGAAGATTTGGAGAAGTGGAAACAGCAACAACGGTCTAGGCCAATCCACACAAAGCCAAATAAACTAGGTAAGAAAATAGAATAGCTGAAAAAGCGAGGGGCAGCTAAGTGGTGCAATGAATAGAGCTCTGGCCTTGGAGTCAGGAGGACCTGAGTTCAAATCTGACCTCAGACATGTGACACTTACTAGCTGTATGACGCTGGGCAAGTCACTTAACCCCAATTGCCTCACCAAAAAAAAAAAAAAATAGAAAGAAAGAAAAAAGGAAAACAGAATTCTTCTCCACTGTCCCAAGGTGAAACTCCACCCACCTAAAGACCATCAGACTTCCCTTCCCTAACAGTATCCCCTAAGGGTCCCTGGATCTTGCTCCTGATCTCTAAGATCTTTCCTCCTCAGCTCAACTTTCCAGTGTTTATGGTCTCCCCCAATTAGAATGTGAGCTTTCTGAGAGTAGGCATATTCCTATTGCTTAGTACATTCCCACATATTATGTAGGGTTATAAATGTTTTTCCATTACATTCCAGAGGTGGTTTTTAACATTGCTTTCAGTTAATTCTTTAACTGCCTGCTATGTGCAGAGTGGTACTTATCCTACTGTGAAGCATATAGAAATGAAATAACACTGTAACCCCCCTGAAAGCAGGGTCTGTTTAGTGTAGGAGTCCTTAAGGTATGTCATGGACCCCTTTGGCAATCTGGTGAAGACTACAAGTCCCTTCTTAGAATATGACTTTTTTAAAATAATTGAAGCAATGCTAAATTTCAGTTAGAGGTTAGTGAAAATAAAGATAATTTTTTTCCCCATTCCCAAACCCCCTGAAATCTATCCACAGATTCCCTTGGTGGGGGGGGGGGTCTCTGGACCCCAGGTTTATTGGAAGAGATAAAATATACATAAATATGTACAATACAATACAACAGAGAAGCTGAGAATGTATAAAGAGGTAAAATAAAAAACTTGCTAAAGATGCAAAGAGGAAGTAACACCTTTTTTTCCTGAGGCAATCGGGGAAGGCTTCACATACTACATGGCACTTGAGGAGGACCAGGGTTGTAACCCTGAGCAAGGGAAGTTATGCGTTTTCCTAGCTAAGTACTTTTTATTTGTCTCCTTTTAGAACATTCAGCATCATTGTAGTGTCTGGGGTGGAGTGTGTTTTTAAGTAAACACATTTAAATCTCCCAGTTACTTTACCCAAAGCATCAGATAGATGACGCAGTGGCTGCCTAGCAAATACCAGAATACTTTTAAGTTGCCAGGGAATGGAATGAAGGCTTAATCATCAAATCATTTAGACCCATCCATAAACGATTGCACTCTGAAGAAAAGAGCCTACCTGGGGAACAGGATGACTCCCTGGTAGGACAAGTCAAGCTGTGAGTGAAAGGCTCTTTGAGCATTTTAATCACAGGAGGGGAAATACTAATCTGTGTGGAAATGAAGGCAGAGGAGATTCTGAATATGAGGTGAAGGTGAGCCAGGGACACAGTGGTATATGTGAAGAGAAATGTCATCTATGTTTTCATTTCTAAGGAGAGAGACCTTTTGATCCTCAAGAGGGGATGCTGCCAGGGTGATGAATTACCTTATCCTAGCTCTTCTGAGGGCTTGAATCATTCAGAAGGGAGGCCACTTAATGGGAATCTTTTCAATCGTCTTTCCTTCCCATCTGGTGTGGGAACATAAAGGAAGGGACACACACTGTTGTCTTAGACTTAGTTAATACAGAGGAATCTAGAGGAAATATACTTCCAATTAAGAGTGGCAATTTTGGGGGAAAATATCCTCTTCTCTCTACCCTGCCCCCTAGGAGGTGTGATGGAAGATAGACCTAATTTGGAAAAAAAAAATAGTTTGTAAGTAGAAGTAATGTGAAGACTGCATAAGAAGGCTAATGAAAAAGTCGATAAATAGGAGAACTTTCCACTCCACTGTCAAAGTGTTTAGACCAAGCATAAGGAAAAAAAATTATTATAATATGTAAAATTAGACTTTGGGAAAATTTTGGGGGAAAAAAACTCACTACTACTGGATCTGTACCTATCTCTCCCCTCATCCACCTCTACCGCTGTGTTAGAATAGTTTTTTTTTTCTTTCCATAAAATGGTTGCAACTTTAGATCAAAATCTTCAAAGTTACTGCTTCTCCCTTATCATCTCTTCTCCTACCTCCCCTCCCCTTCTATCTCCCCCCGAAAAGCAGAGGAAGAACAACAAGTGATATCTTTAGTGGTTCAGTTATAAGAGCTACTCAGAATACTAATTATTTTAATATTTTTTTTGTGAAAGTGAATCTTTCAGAGAACTGAAATTTCTTTCAGAAATCTTTTAGTGCTAAGCCTGAAGTCAGAAAAACTCATCTTCTAGGTTCAAATCTGGTCCCAGACACTTAGAAGCTATGTGACCCTGGGCAAGTTACTTAACCCTGTTTTCCTTAGTTCTGTATCTGTAAGATGAGCTAGAGAAGGAAATGGCAAACCACTCTAGTACCTTTGCCAAGAAAACCCCAAATGGGGTCATGATGAGTTGTGGTGACATGACTGAAACGACTGAACAATAACAACATAATATGCATACCAAGATTGAATAAACATTGAGAAAATCTCTAATCGCCAGTTCTTAGACAATTATTGTGCAGTCAGAATTTTTGGTATTAAATTAATTTTGTGTTCGGCTGACAACTAGTAAATGATATGACTTCCATGTTTCTTGAATAATGCGAGAAATAACAACAAATTGTGTGGGTTTCTAAGGAATAAATCTTGCTGGAAGATTTCCTTTGAATTTATTTATATCCACATAATATGGATTAAACCTTGGGATTTGAGAGTTTCCTATTTCAATACAGGACAATAGGATACACAAGAGAGAAGAAAGTGAATAGGTACTCCCCAACAGAGATTTGTAGGTAGCAGAAAGTCTAAGAGGGAGAAGTGTTTTAGAATTTAAGCTTCTGGAAGAGAAGAACTGAATTTATTTATTATTGAGTATGGGCACTCAAATATTATTTGACAGTGGATAGAAGCTAGAAAATTTGAATAATTAAAATTAGAGCAAAATGTTAGAAATCTTTGTAAGTAGAATAGCTTAGTCAGGAATCTTTTAAAACACATAGAAACCCTTATTCTGTAATGTCTTATTAAAGAATTCAGTTTTATTTTAATGTCCATGAGCATTAAACCATTAATAAGTAAATCCCTGTTGCAGACTATGCCTTAATGCCTCTTTGATGGCTGACATTTCAGTTAAATATTCAAGTTTTATTTATTGCTTCCTTGTCTCTAACTCTCATTTTTTATAAGGTGGAAACCAATCAGAGGCTGAAGCTAGGAAGAAACAACAATGTCAACTCTTACAGTCTAAATACCAGCAAAAGGTCAGAAAGAATCCATCCTATCTAGTTAATTTTATCAAGGATATTTTTTTTTTGCTTTTGAATATCAGTGCTTTTAATGAATGATGAAAAAAATCACACAATTACTTGATCAGTGTTATGAAGTTTTCAAATTAGTTGCAAATCAAAGTGAGAGAATTAAAAAATGAAATGTCAGCAAATATCCCTATTCAATTTGAATAGAAGTCTATGGGATGTTACATTCTGGGAATATTGTCTTGGCCAGTCCCTTAAAAAGCAGTTCTGTTGCTACTTTCAAATGCCTCTGGTCCAGAGGCCCAGCTAAGCCTATTTCATCCTAGACTACTTTAATGAAATAGGAAATAGTTTCTGTAAAATGGTCAGTGTTTGAGGAAGATGTCCCAGCTGTTCTTTGCTTTCTATGGAACTTGAAATAAGAATCTCTGATCATGTTGAGGTTTAGTACAAACAATATTATAATTTGGCTTTCATCATAATTCTGCATTTGAGATTGACTAAAAAAATGCTAACTTTTTTTTTTCAAAACTGTGTCTTCTCAAAATGATGTAGCTAAAAAGGGAAGAATGTATAAGGATGCAGAAGGAAGTAGAAGAAGCTAAACTCCAAGCAATAAAGGCGATTCAGAGAGAAAAGGTGAGATGAAGTTTTGATGCTGAAGCAGGGCAGTGTGGTACAATGGTAAGAGTAAGGCTCAGGGCTTAGATGACCTGAATTTAAAGCCCTCATCTGAAGCTTCTTGTTTTTGCTGTTGTTGTTTATCCTTGGCTCTTGAAGAGGACCATGACAACAGGAAGATGATGCCATGACTTGCAAACAAATTGGATTCAAGTGAGGGAGGGCTGTGCAAAGTCACCAGCTTCATTTTCTCCTCCAGAGCCACCTGGGTCCAGTGGCAAGACATAGATTAGGATGACTGGAGATAAACCTGGATGCAGGGAGACCATGGCCTTGTTAAACCAGTGTCTTTCCCAGGTCTCTGAAGCTTATTGCTGATATGAATGTGGGCAAGTCCCTGAACCTTCTTGCCCTTCAACTTTCTCACCTATAAAATGAGGAGGTCCCTGTTGGTTTTAAATCAGTGATCCTATGACCAGAAGACATTAATCTAAACATTGTAGTTTTCAGACGAATGGTGATAGGGGCAGGTCTTCACTGTTTCCCGCTTGGATTATCAGAAGCACCTTCTGCTTGGTCTTCCTTCCTCAAGTCTCTCTACTTCAATCCATCTTTCACTCAGGTGCCAAATGATTTTCTTAAGGTACGGATCTGAATGTCACCCCTCCCACTTAACACATTCCAGGGGCTTCCTGTTACCTACAGAATCAAATAGAAAATCCTCTGTGTTTGCCTTTGAAATCCCTTCACAATCGGACCCCTTCCTACCTCTTCCAGTTTTCTTACACTTTTTTCTCCCTCCATATACTCTCTAATTCAGTGTTCTTCCTACATAACACTCCATCTCTTGACCTGGTGCTTTTGAATTGGCTTCCCTCTATCCTTCAAATATTTTTCCTCCTCACTTCTACTTCTTGGAATGGCATATCTCCTTCTTGATTCAGTCCAAATTCTACCTTCTGCAAGACACCTTTCCCAGTCCCTCCAGCTGCTAGTGCTGTCCCCTCTGAGATTATCTCCTACTTATACTGCATCTGTCTTGTAGGTGCCAAGTTATTTACACATGTATTTGTATGTGAGCCTGTTGAAAGCAAGAACCATCCTTCTGTCTTTCTTTTTATCCCTAGTGCTTAGCATAGTGCCTGACACATCCGTGGCTAGCACTTAATAAAAGCTCATTGTTGAAGTCAAGCTTCTTGCTCCCACCACTCTATGTAAATTGTTTCTATGTTTAAATTGTTTTATGATCAATGACTGCTTAATTAGTTCAGTGCACTTTTCTCAGTACTCTCTTCAGTTTTTGGCAGTAGTGAACAGCACTTCCTATTGGAAAATACTGTTTGTTAATGTGTAACAATTGCCCTGCCTGGGTGCCTTTCTGAATTTGTTTTTGATTTTGTTTTTGTTTTTGTTTTTGTTTTCTGGTATGTGACTTTTTTTTTGTTATGTTGACGCTTTTTTGCCTCTCTATCGTCTTCCAATAACTCCTCTTCCCTAATAACAATTCATTATACTCAAACAAGTTAAATTAACGTGTTGGCTACTTCTGAGGTCATATCATGTCTTATTCTGCATCTCTAGTCTCAATCTTCTGAAGTCATGATTGGTCACTGTATCAATGAAAATTCTGAAGCCTTTCAAAGGGTTTTTTTTTTTCTTTATTGTACTCATTATTCTATTGGTTCTACTCGTTTTACTTTCTAAGTTCATGAATCTTCCCAAGTTTCTCTGATTTCTTCATAGTCATCATTATTTTTATAGTGCAAAAATATTATGTTACATTCACATGCCACAATCTGTTCCGCAGTTTCTTTGGTTGATGGGCACCTACTTTGTTTCCAACTATTTGCTACAACAACACTGTTAGTCGTTAATCTTTAGCATATATTATGCTGACTGGCTCTGTAAGGTTAGGGAAAGGATCTTGGAAGACCCTGTCATGGTGATGGTAGAAGCATAGGTCCAAAGCATGTCCTCTCCCCAAGCCATAGGACATACATTCCAATTTGGCTTTCTGTTCCTGTTCTGCTGTCCCTGACTGCCAGACCAGCTGTGTATAGCACCTGCTGGAGATTTAAGTTGAGAAAAAAACAGGATTTTACTCTCTGAGGATGACTTTCTTTTCCTCCTCCCTCCCTTTTTTCATTTTAAGTAATTTATTTTTGGCCAGAATCTAGCCCTGGCTACCAAGCAACAGATATGTTTTTTATAGGAAAATATAAATTAGCCAAAGCTAGACTAATTGCTTATGGTACCTATAAAATATCCACAAGACATTTGTGCTTTCTTTTCAATATTTTTAGTTTCAATGAGTCAATTTCCATTTGATGTTGGGTACTGTGTATTCAGTTAGACGATTTTAGTGAGAGCTTCTAAAATTCTTTCTTTGTTTATTTGTTGTTCTCTTTTTCCTTTATGAGGAGGAGGGCATGCCTTCCTAGCTCTCATATTATTGGCAGATAGGCTCAGTGCCCTCAGGAACACTTGACCTGGTAGATGTCCTTTTGGACACAGCCTGTTAGTTTTGTCAAACGAAGCCAGCAAGACCCTCACCTGAGCTTCATGTAATGTGTGGTCAGCTAAAGACCAGCTAAAGTCACCATCTCTTTTCCTGTAGAGTCAATTTAATTAGCATCGAACATCTATAATAAACCACACTGTTGTCGACTCTTAGACAGTTTCTTCAAGGACCATGTCATATAGCAGTATGAGTCTCTGAATCTGTTTTATATTTTATGTTTAATATTTTGTGTGTAACATTTAACATTTGTAGTAAATGCAAGATGGGAAGGGGCTTTTCTTTCCTTCCCCACCCCCTTCATATACCACAGTCCTCAGCATATAGTAGTGGGCTGTTAGTACATGCTTATCAATTACTTTCTACCTTCAGTTTTGAGAGTGACCATTGGTACAGGCTGGTTAGGAATGGGGTTGGATATCCTGGCATCAGGCTTCCCTTCACTCAAAGGGAAAACTGTAGTTCTTCTTCCCTGGCAGATGAGTTTAAAACCAGATTATCTATCTATCTCTTGGTTTTATATATATGTGTGTATGTATATATATACACATATGTATACATATATATACACACATATATTTTATATGTGTGTGCATATATATGTACATATATGTATATAATGTTATATTATCATATGATATATGATATATTATTATTATTACATACATATACTTTGACTCTAGGGGTCATTGGGACTGTTCTATATCCATTTTTCTTTGGCTTCTAAAAAAAAAAAAGTCATACACAATGGAAATGGGTAAATACGTGGGTAAATACAATCTTTAGCTGTAACAGATTGGAGAACAACTGATATGCCAAGTGTGAAAATGGCTCCTGTAAACGAGGGGCTTTGTTTTGCCAGTTTGAATATGTCTGCATCAGGTCTTAATGGCTGTGCTTATGGAGCACTCATCCCTTTAAATGCAAGATGGACGTAGATATGCACCGATGCCAGTGTGCAGAATCTGCTAACCCAGAGAGGAGTTGACCATCCTTCTGTTTGGCCAGGAACCAAATAAAATCCCAACAGTTCAGGCCCTGGTCTGCCATCCGTGACTGCCTCTGCAGAGCAGGGCAAAGGATATCATTTCTCTTCTTCAGTGAACTCAGATTTCCTTAATCACATCCTCTCTTCTAGTTTCCTATGTCAGAAGACTGTCACCAGAGGTCACCAGCCCAATGTTATTAGTTATCCTCTGATACTTGATGCAGAAAGCTGAGAAATTGATTTCTGGTGTACGTTTAATTATCAGGAAACTGTGGAGGTGGCTAGATTCCCCTGGACTTAATGTAATTCCCCTTGTCTATACAGATGCAGGTTGAAGAGGGGAAAATATAGTGATCCCACATATTTATTGTGGAGCCTAGGAGGAGACTGGATTATGCCTTGGAGAGCTTTAGCCAAAGAACATAATCTTAGAGCAGAAGACAGTTTGAATCAAATTTGTAGGGGACAGCCCAGTGGTATAGTGGATAGAGCACCAAGTCTGGAATCAGGAAGACCTGAGTTCAAATCCAGCTTCAGACACTAGTTGTGTGTCTTTAAGCAAGTTGTTTCACCCTGTTTGCCTCAGTTTTCTCATCTGTAAAATGAACTGCAGAAGGAAAAGGCAAACCACTCCAGTATCTTTGTCATGAAAACCCCAAATGGGGTCAGAAAGAGTCAGACATGAATGAAACAACTCAACAACAACAATAGAGAAGTGTAATCCTAACTCAGAATCCCAAGTAACCTCAGAAACCACTTATGCCAATCTGACCCAGAGCATAAATCTCTTCTCTAATATACCTCCACATCGATCATCCAGCCTCTTCTTGGAGACCTCCAAGGAAGAGAGATCACCTACCACCAACAGTTCATTCTACTTTTGGACAGCTCTAACCATTAGTTTTCCTGATGACAAGCCCCAAGGGGGAACTGAGAGAATACTGTCCCTGCCATTCCAAAACCTCAGATTAGGGCTATAAAAGAACAAAGCCCCTGTGATCAATTTTGGGATAATGTGTCTGCTCTGTCGTTAAAAACAGATGATTATCCATAGTGTAATAATGGTGAGTTAACATTTCCTACATGTGGTGCTCTCTAAAGCAGAGAAAATTTGACTAAGATATTAAAGCTTCAGATTGAAAGGAGAAGGCAAAAAGGCACTGTACAATATTAGCAGATGCAAATAACCTTAATACTGTTCTCTGTTTCGGAATAATGAGGCCCATTTTCAGAAATTCGTTTTAAACCTCAAGACTTTCTTCTAAATTCAATTAAAAAAAGAAATGCATTTGGATGCAAACAAGCTTTTAACATTTTGATTGGAGCTATACACTCCAACTGGACTCTGCTAAATTTTTATAATATAATATCCTCACACCTGAAATGGAATAAAAACTTCCAGTTTCATGAGTAAAGTTCTGGTATGTTCCACATCAGTGAAACACTGGGTCAAATTTTATCCCCTTTGTAAAAAAAAAAAAAAAGTGATAAACGAGACATTAAGACTCTGAATAGCCACAGATATGGAAATGCAGTGGGATCCTTGCTGATGCTAATAGCAAGGGATACAGACAAATACCTTGTTGCATCATGGAAAGCCTGTAACGTGGGCAGCTGGTGCTCTTCCCTGGCACTAGTATTTTAATGAAGTCCTGTTGTATTTGAATGCCTATTGCCCCTTGGAGATTTCAAGTAGGTTTATGAATAGACTTTTTTGAAGAATTATAGAATTTGAGTTAAAGGAGACTTTAACCTCTATGTAGGCATGAAAATTATCCTCACTATAATCCCCCCCAAAAAAGTCATCTAGCCATTGCTTTGAGATCTCCAAAGAAACCGCCCCCCCCCCGCCTACACACACATTTTTCCAGACAACCGATTCCATTTCTGGATAGCCTTATGTTAGGAAATTTATCCTGACATGGAGCCTAATTTAATGTCTTTGTAAATTCTACCCATGGCTATGGTTTTATCAGCACTCGCTCTTCTACGCCCACTGATAACTGTTGTTCAGTCATGTTTGACTCTTGATGACCCTATTTGGGGTTTTCTTGGCAAAGATGGTCGAGTGGTTCACCATTTCCTTCTCATTTTACAGATGAGGAAACTGAGGCAAATGGGGTTAAATGACTTGCCCAGGGTCACACAGCTACTAAGTGTCTGAGGCTGGATTTGAATTCAGACCTTCCTAACTTCAGGCCCAGTGCACTATCCACTGAGCCATCTAGCTGCCTATTTGTCTACTGTGTCATTCATCACTCCAAACTTTGATGAGCATGCCATCTACGCTTTATGAGAGTCATTGATCAGTGTGTTAGCACAGTCCAAGCCCAGTTTCCCCTGTCTATCTTCTATATGCCCCCTTCTCTCCTCGGACACTCCCACCACCCTGGTGTAGCTCCTCACCACCTCATGCCTGGACTGTGAGACTTCTGGTTGCTTTCCCTGTCTATAGTCTCTCCCTACTTCAGTGTTTGCACCATTTCGCTATCAGAGTGATCTTTCTCTAAGTGCAGGTCTGATCATGTCACTCACCTGTTCAATAAATTTCAGTGGCACCCTATTGCCTTCAAGATCAACCAATTCATTGACTTTTAAAGCCTTTCATATCCTGACTCCTTCTTACCTTTCTAGTCTTCTTACATCCTAATTTCCTTTCATTCATTCTACAATCCAGTAATGTTAACCTCCTTGCTGTTCCTCGTACATGATACTCTGTTTCCTGACTGAACATTTTCACTGGGTGTCCCTGATGCCTGGAGTGTTTTATCTTCTCATCTCATCTCCTGACTTCCCTGCTTTCCTTCAAGAAACATTTCCCTTTTTAAAATTTTATTTTGTTTATTTTTATTTTGTTTTAATTTTGTACTTATTTTAAATATATATTTATTTTATATTTATTTTCTTTTAATGCTAGTGCCTTCTTTTTGAGATTCCCTCCAGTTTACAGTATATATCTTGGATGTACATAGTTGTGTGCATACCTTCTTTCTCATTGGACTGTTGAACTCCTTAAGAGCAGAAACTGGTTTTGCCTTTGTGTGTGTGTATGTGTGTTTTTAGTGCTTAGAACAGTGTCTGGCACATAGTAGGCACTTAATAAATGTTTATTGACATGAGTTAACTATTACATTACAGCATAAGCTCCATCTTCTTCTCCATGAAAACTTTGGTTTCTTCTGTCCCCTCCAGTCTCCTAATTCTCATACCTCCCTCCCAAACTACCTAATATTTGACTACCTTTTCTTTACTTTCCTTATATTTATTCCATTTATACTTATCTATCTACTTGTTGTCTTTCCCATTAGAATGCAAACTTTTTGTGAGCAGAGATTGTTTCATTCTGTGTCCCCAGCACCTACCGTGGTGCCTGGTGCACAGGAGGTACTTGTTATTGCTCGTGGGCCACTATGTACCTCTTTTACCGTCCCTTCACTTGGATATAGATCTCTTAGTGACTTTTTTTGTTCTTCTTTCATGCAAAGGTCATTTTCCTTGGCATAGAAGACAGAAGTAAAATCAGAATTAAGCAGCTCTGCTTTCTCTCTGTCAGTTGCCCTATCCATTTTAAGCAAAGGTGTTGTCCCTTCATTGATGCTCCTCTTTCTCCCAATAAAAGTAAAAACTAGACCAAAAAACCCTCTTTGTTGTCATCACCTTTCCTTGCCAGCCTCAGCTAATTCTGAATTTTAGCCCTCCCAACACTATTTGGGCAAGACTGTGCCTTGAGTTTGCGGCTATCCTCTCTTTTCATTTACTTCTTCTCTAAAGTCTCAATTTGTTGTTGAGTTTCCTGTGAATCCACACTGGTCTCTTCAGACATATTCTAAGCCCATTCCCCACTCCAGTTGGAGTCATACCTACCTTTATTCTGAACCCTTTCTAAAATCCACGTTCCCAGAATCCAGAGCACATGTTAAAACTATATTTGCATTTCCCCTTCTCTATCAGAAACTCTAGGAGGGATTGGTCACTTCTTCCAGGGTACTTATCTCCATCTCAGGAACCAGTTCCTCCTTGTTAGTAGGAATCGACTCCATGTTAGAATTTCCCTTCCTTGTTTCCTTTCCCTATGAAGGATGAAATTATTGCTAAGGCAAGTCGGGAAGTTGTTAGGTGTTTTGCTTTTCTAGTAGATATCTAGACAATTGAAGCTCCCTCATTCCTCTGCCAGGCTTATGATCTATTTCCAAAGCTCCTTAGCTCATCGTTTCATCCAGATACCTACTGACTCAATCACTTGTGTTTCTTCACAAAATATTCTGCTGTTCTCCCACACTTTGTGCTTAGCACAGTGCCTGGCACACAGTAGGTATTTAATAAGTACTTTTTAACTGACTGAGTGCTTTATTTCTTCTTCCCTTGAGTATATTTTATTAATATACAATGCTGTCTCACCTTCTCCTATCTTTTCTTTATCCTATTTATTTTGATTAAGGTATACACATCCAGGGACATGGTACAGATGTGGGTTTCATCCTTACCTATAAGATCAAATTTTCCTCCTCACATCTCATATTTATGAGATCAAATTTGCCTCCTCATATCTCTAGTGTGTCTTGTTTGTTACCTAAACTTGGGGCATTTGTATATAGACATTTGATGCCATAGCTTTTTACTACTGGCTTCTCTTTGGATTTTGTCTACTATGGATTTCTATATGTCAACTGCTCTTCTCCCTTCATTGTATCCATTCTTTATGGTATTGGACTTTGTGGATACTACATAAGCAGTCTTCTCCCTCCTTGATATTATTTAGTTTAAGGTTCTTCAGGCTTGTGTTTTAGAAGTCATCCCTTCTTTCTTGATGTGATTTCCTCTTGGTTTATCACCCACATGAAGTGAAAGGGCCAATGAGGAGAGAAAAACAAGGTAGCATTTCCTAAAATGCCCGTGAATATGTAATCTCCGTCGCGTGAGTTCCTCCCCTCAATTCTACCCCATATGTCATTGCCCATCCGGTGTTCATGTTCTCTCACAAATCCGTCATGAGGATTTGGTCGACTGTGCTGCGGGAGGCAAGGGGAGAGGGGCTGCTTGCTGGTGGCAGTTCCTTTTCCTTTTTTTTGACATTTAGTAGCCATAAATAGAACTTACAGCATGTCCATCAGTCACTCTTTGTTCTTGCTATGTGGGAGGCTGATCTTCCTTTTCCAACCATCTATTGTCTTTTATTTAACTTCATCTGAACAGTTCCTTGTTTGTAAAATGTTTTAGCCTGCCAGCAATCATCACATTATCTCTTTTACTCTTTAGATGATCCCCCCCCTTAATTCTTCAGAGATTGATGTAGTATTTTATGGCTTTCTAAAATCACCCAATATTGTCATTAAAAGCCTTTTTTTCTAGAAGAATTTTGGGGACATTTTAAAAAAACACACACAGAGCAAAAATTTCCAAAGGTGGTATAGCCTGTTCTCCTCTTTCAATTCTGGATCCAGCTTAATGTTCATTTGTAGGATCTATCATATATATGTGTGTGTGTGTGTGTGTATTAATGAACAAGCCCTACGGCTGATTATTCAGTTACACATCATAAGCTGGATAAAAAAAGCATTATTCATCCATTTAACTTGCCCTGTTAGGTTAAACTATTTTGATTTTATATGGAAGATTTCCTAGTACTTTTGCTATAAGTTATTTGACTTGCCTAAAAAGAAACCTTATATTTCCATATTTAGAAATACTTGGTTAGTAGAAAAGAGTAGTATTAGCATTTCCACCTTAAAGTTGGAACAACTGAAATGCTGATGGAGTCTGTGATTTGCCCAAAGCAAGCCAAGAAAGTGAAGCTGCAAAGTGACTATAGGATATCTGGCCTGGCATGCCAGACATGAGTACAGTAGTTTTACTCATCTCTGAGCAGTATTCCATACTAGGGCAGGTTCTGAGGTATTCTATATGAACTAAATTAGGTGCCAAAGGTCCATCTATATGCTGTGTCTTAGATAATTGAGCAATCATTCTTTTTTTGTTTAAAGTATACCTAGTAGATTGATTTTGGATATATTTGAAACTTCAGAGCAATAAATTGGAGGAAAAAAGAAGGCTTCAAGAGAGGCAAAGAAGAGAAGCATTTAATGATCAACCTCCCTGGTAAGTTAAAGTTGAGTATTTGTAAGAGTTCATAAGAAAATGAAATTGCTTTTTCAGTCAATCAACAAGCATTTATCAAATGTCTACTGTGTTCTAGGTACTGAGAATACATTGGTTTGTGGAGAGTTGGTCATTTCCTCTTTATATTTCCCAGATGGTGAGGGACTTGGAATAGTCTTCCCAAAGTGGGACCTGGTACTTTGGGCTGAAGACTGTCATACATTTGTTTTAAGTGGAACTTTGGCATGGCCATAACCAGGGTAGGATCACTGGAGCTTTGATCCAGGGCAGCAAAGAAGCCAGTCCTTCCTCTCTCTCACTTGCTTGAATATACCCTTATTACATCTTGTATTATTTTCACATCACTATTTCTAAAGTTGAATTGAGGGCACATACATATGCATATACAATGTATATGACATGCTTATGTGCTTATGTCTATGTATATATAATATATATACATATATACATATAAATATAAATTTTGAGAAATGTGTGTGCACATATATATGTGTTCCTCCCAATTTTAAGCTTTTCCAATGAGCTAACCAGGAAAAATATATACACATTTACATGCATATGTGTATGTATATACATGCACACATACATATATACACATACATCTGCAGTGTTCAGTTATTAAAGCTATATATATGTGTGTATATATATATATACACACATACAATGCAGTGTTCAACTATTAAAGATACATTATATATACATATTTATCTTTATATATGTATTTTTAAAGATGTGTGTGTATATATATATATATATATATATATATCTTTAATAGCTGAAGACTTCACTGACTTTATTTAGAATCTATTTATTTTGAAGTGGCTCAACCTTTTAGAATATGTCTCACTTGCTTTCCATAGTCATAAATATGAAAGCTGTTTCTTAGAAAAGATCGCTCTTTGAATTCACTAATCATATTTTTCCTAGAATGAGTTTTAAGATAGGATATTTTTTGGGGGGCAAACAGGTTTTTAATGGTATCAAGTATTCACCAGACTAAGAACTTAGGGAGACAGATTTTTACTCCATATGAGGAAAAACTTCCTAAAAATTAGAACTATTTGAAAATGAAATGGGTTACCTGCGTAGGTAGTGACTTCTTCGTTATTGGAGGTCTTCAGGAAGAGGTGAGATGAGCTTTAGGGAGGAGCTTGATTAAGTAGGTCCTTTGAGGACATACGTGGCAGCATGGTAGGGAAAAGACATGAAAATCTGGGTTTGAATCCTACCTTAGACATATACTAGCTAGTATGATGAGTAAGTCACTAAATTTTTCTGAGCCTCAGGTTTCCCATCTTTAAAATGGGGATATTAATGACTTCATCATGTACCTATCTCACAAGACATTGTAAGGCTAAATAGAGATAATATGTAAAATATATAAAATAAATATGGAAAAATATGTAAATATGTAATATGTAAAATAATGAGTAGGGTACTGTGCCCACTCCATCTCCCAAGGGACCCCTTTCAAATGCTCTTTGCTTGGCTCTGGACCCATGCACGTGTTCTAGACAGAGTACAGTCCTTGGAGAGTTTGATCTCTAATAAGAGGGTTCTAGACTTCCTTTTTTCATCTTCTTTGACTTGTTACATCTGCCTCTCTCCCCCATATCTGAGTACCTTGAGGAAAATTATGTAAACACTTAGGTTTTGGCTCGTGGTTGGTTCTCCCTAAGGGCATGGAGAGTAAAAAATGCACTCAACATAACCATTAGGTATAGGACAACTATCATCTTTCCTACACACAAAAGAAATGCTAAAGAACCCAAAATACTCACAGTGTGCATTGACAAAACAACTTGAAACAGGATTCAATAACAACTTATAAGTACTGTTATACTCTTTCAGGAGGCTGAGACTTAAACCTCATGAGAACACATAGTAGTTTGTGAGACTATTGAATCGGCATTCCACATTTCATTTCAACCTTGCACCGTCCAAACTATCCACAGTCCATGTCTTCTGGTAAAAGGGTCAGATTTGGACCAGATCTCTTGTTGACATCCATATTCTCCAAGAGCTCTAGAGTAGTTGCTAAGGAATCCTCTCTGGATCACCAATCAGCTCTGATCAGAAGGACCTAGGACTTTTAGACCTTTCAAACAAAGTTGCCATTAAGTCTGGGTCTGCCCTTCTTGGGAGAGATGCTTGTTTGCCTAAGATCAGAAAGGAACAGACACAAGAGGTAGCTTCATACTTATGCGGGTCTAGGTGGAACATGTGGTTTATCTGTCATGTCTTCATGGCCACTTGGCAGCTGGGAAATCACTCCTTAGGTGAAGTGACTTGAAATATTCCTGACATGATATACACCTGAAAAAGGAAAGAGTTCCCCTTTTAGCTAATAGGGAGACAACCTTATTGCAAAAGACCAAACTCCCTCAGCACTATGTCAACAGGAATGGACAACTTTGCACAAACCTAGAGATGGTCCTGGTCATAATTCTATTATCAGGTGAATGACAGCTACTCTGGACTTTAGCCTCACCTGTAAAATGAGGGTGTTGGATTAAATGGTATCTAAAGGTCCCTTCCACCAGAAACATATTAGAAGCTATGAATCTGATTGCCCTTAGCTCAAGTAGATTTCTCTGAAGCTGTCACATGAAAAAAAGCAAAACAAATGCAAACCAATTTTTTTTAAGACTAGTTGATGACTTCTGTCTTGGCAGTGCCAGTACTCAGCATGCCATAATGTGTGGTTTCATGGCAAGTCAATAACACATTGCCTTTTCTTTAGGGAAAGGGATCCCTAACTCTGCATCAGCTTAAGAAAATACTCATGGTTACTGAATGGGGCCACAACTGTGAGTCCTTGTCTATGCACTCTTGAAACCATGTTCCTGACTTTGTTCATTTGCTTCTGATTATTTTTAGTGTTGTCAATTATTTAGCTAACAGGCAGAAAACTAGGCTTTTATTGACATCCAAAGGGACTCTCCTGAGTGTAATAACAGAGGCAGTTTATTGAATGCCTGTGAGGTTGCTTTCTAATTGTACACATTAATCTGCCCATGCAAGCTGGCTGAAAATACACAAGCAGATTGCACATGCAGATGGAGCACACAGGATGGTTTTTATGAAAAGACCTCTGGAATGCGCTTCTGCGGTGTGGCCGTTTCCTTTAAAAACAACGGAAAAGTGGATGGCAGTGACAGTTTCAGTGGGAGGCTGGGAGCAGGCCAGGCTTATGGGCTGTCAAGCTTAGAGTCCTGCCTTGATTGGAGACAGACCTTAAATCTCACAGTGGAGAGTTACTTGGTTTTAGGATGCTGAGCAATGACATGAAGATGGAGAGGCATGGCAGGCAACAGATGTAAACCCAGTCTTGGTACTTCTGAAGATTATATTTAGTCCCTAAATCATCCCAGCCCTTTTCAAGTCCAAATGTGATCTTTTTCAGGATAGCTTTATGTAGCAGTGAATTTTACTGAGGAGATACTGCTGCACAAAATAATAATACTGTCTTAATATCCCTTCTAAAGGGGAAGAAGCAGTACAGATTATTGAAACTAGTAAGTATGATTTTTTTTTAACCTTAAGTGTATTGTGAATATTCAAAGGTATACACATATGTACATGTATGTGTATCCACAAACATGTAGATACATAAGTGCCTACCCACATAGATGCTGACATGCACACATGTGTTTTAGATATAGCTGCAAGTCAAGATATGACTACGCATATCTATTTCTTTTCATATGTGCATATATTTACACACATATATACATATATACACACATATGTGCATGTATGTACTTAAAATTTCCCTAGGCCAGTGTTTAAAACCAGTTTGAAATCCCTAAGATGGGAGTAGTGAAATAAGAAGTCCAGCAACCTGTTTGGCCTAGGGAGGGGCTATTTCTGAATTAAACATTTGTAACTACTCCCAAAGGACTATTTAACTGTGTATACCCTTTGATCCAGCAATACCATAGCTAGGTGAATATCATAAAGACATCGAAAAAAAAGAGGGAAAAGGATCTATTTGTACAAAAATATTTATAGCAGCCCCCTTTTTTTTTGATGTCAAAGAATTGGAAATAGAAGGGATGCCCATCAACTGGGGAATAGATAAACTGTGATATATGATTATAATGGAATGTTATTGTGCTATAAGAAATGACGAGCAGGCAGATTTTAGAAAAACCTGGAAAGACTTACATGAACTGATACAAATGAAGTGAACAGAACTGGGAGAACATTGTATGCGGTAACAGTTATATTGTTAGGTGAAGAGCTGTGAATGACTTAGCTCTTTCTGGCAAAACAATGATCCAAGACAAGCCCAAAGGACTAATGATGAAGCATACTATCCTGCCTCCAGAAAAAGAACTGATATTGTTTGAATAGAGACTGAAGCATGCTATTTTTATCTTTCTTTCTTTCATTCTTTTTCTTATATTTGAATTTTCTTGTATAAAACGACTAACATGAAAATGTTTTACATGATTGCACAAGAATAACCTATATCTGATTGCTTACCATCTTAGGGAGGGGGGAGGGTAGGGAGAGAGGGAAGGAGGGAGGGATAGAATTTGGAACTCAAAATTTTATTAAAAAAACCCCAAATGTTAAAAAAAAATAGTTTTAATGTAATTGGGGGAATATATATATATATGTATATATATATACCTATGTATGTGTATATACACATATGTGTGTATATATACGTGTGTATATAATATAATGTGATTATAATGTTATGTACGGATTAAACATTTGTTATAGATGATTGAGAATTGGCAACCTAAAGGAATAGAAAGCATGTTGGTCTACAAGTCATAAGACCCATGCTCAAGTTCTATATATGCCACTTACTGTGGAACTTCCCTGAGTCTTAATTTCCTCATCATAGAATAATGATTATTTTTCCCACTTCCCAGGATTGATGGAAGCATCAAATGAGTCAGTAGAGACAAAAGTGCCCTTTATAAACTCTCAAGTGTCATGAGAATGTTGTTTTTTTTTTA